ATTGGATTCTTTTTTAATTTTTCAAATCAAACAAATTAGTTAGTTAGCATGAAGCAAAATCTGCATTCAGTGGGGCTACTGTGGCACCAGTATGAGATGAAACAAACATTACAAAATCATTAAAACAAAAAACATTATCCTAAAAGTATTGACCAGAATAGTGTGAGATACTTCTTGTGAGTTAGAGAAGTTTTCAGCCCAAGGTTATGTTATTTGACAAATAGCCTAATCGGATCATAGTTGGATTAAAAGATTACCTCGGCATGCTATGTTTGTTTCTGCCCATGTATTAACTTTGTTACAGTACACCTTGAAGTGTTAACAGATGCCTGTGCCTCTGCTTGAGGGAAAACTTTTACAAACTGGATACTGGTTTGTACATTCATTAGTGCAGCATTTGCCGCTGGTTATTTGCATTTTAAAGCATGTTTTTATGTCATTTTTTGCCTTTCTGTGGTATCATTTGAGAAGTGTGGAGTAATTTAACAAAGCATTCAGACATTAAGCCAAAAACCTTTAGTGACTGAAGGATGTTAGTGACAAATTTTATGCGTGCATTTCTAGAACGCTTTGAGGAACTGAGACGAGACAGGGTGGGAGGTGTTTTTGCTACTTCTCTCATTTCTGTCTTCCTTTCCAAAATATTTGGATCTGCCTTATGCCTTCAGAATGAGTTGTTTGCTGAACACTTCCTTGCTGTTGTTGTCCTCCATTGTTGAGTTGTTGAAAATGATTGGGAGAAGGGCTATGCGTGGCATTTCAACAGGCAGAGATTTTTGTCTTACTGGAAAGTGTTTTTCACATGTAGAAACCTTGCTTAGTGAAGTAAATCCTTCTGTTGCTGGATAATGTAAAGCTTACAGACTGGCTTTTTAATTGGTCTTATTCCCACACATTTAGATTTTTTTTTTTTTCTTCAAACATAAATATCTGAATATATGAATATATCTTAAACCCAAAACCACCGGGTGGTCTGCGGGCAGAGGGGATAACTCACAGTTTGTTAAGCTTTTCTAACAAATGCCCTGAACATGTTGTTTTCCCCTTTTGGTTTGTCTTTGCCTGTATTTTAAAAACACTTAATGGAAACTAGCCCCAGCAGTTAAGCCCAAGTGGCATGATTGCTACTTTCAAATTTCATGGTAAAGTTGCTTTTGAGCTGTATCTGTAATACAGCACAGCACTCTAGTGGCCGCAAGGGTAATACTTGTCTATGTGTGTGAGAGAGTGTGTGTGTGAGTATGAGAATTTGTGACTTTGAAATGTACTGGGGCATGAAGGTGTTCCATTTTGCCACTATCTTTAGTGATTTTACAAACGTTTCACTTTGATTTTTGCTGATATACTGACATTATTAATGACCTGCTATTAAAAGCGTTGTGATTCAAAACATGTAAAGAGGCACAAATGAGTTTGCATGAAATATATTAATTCTGTACCAAAGGCTTTTTGAGACAAATACATGCAGCAAATTTAAATGTGAAGATGAAATGCAGGAGCTACCCCATCCAGCAAATAATATATTTTCATCTGAGATGACATTTTGACTTTGAGAGTTTTGCGTGAGACAGACAGCCAGAGAAAAAAATGCTTGACTAGTCATACAGACAGAAGGATGGGATGTGTTTGTAAAATTCAGAACCCTTAAGCACCATCAGCTCTTTTAGAAATGTGTGACAGTCAAACTTTCTTTTTCTTTGAGCGATGCCAACGCTGAGCTTTTTGGGATACAGCTGGCATTTGTAGCATTTTCATTGCCCAAAGTGAGAGCTAGAAACAGCACCTTTCAAGGATGTCTTCCAAGACAGTTTAAAAGTGCATGTGCTTTCTAAATTTGACATCCAAAGTACATGTTGATGAGAACAAATCTATTTACACTACCAGCAACCAAAATTACATGGCTGCCAACCTTTGATATGTAATTTAACGGTTCTGATGTCAAGGACCTCCCCATGCATGTGCATGTACTGTACTGTAGCTGCAAGGCTACGATTCTTAACATTTCAGATTATTTGAAAAAGACTGAATGCAAGTAGAGGAATGGGAGGAAGGAAGAGGACAAATCCACTGATTTGAAAAGCATGAATACAGTTATTCTCAACTAGTGCTATCTTCACACAAATCACATTGTAATGAGTTAAACTATTCTTCTTTTCCTTGTACTGTGAGTCTATTTTAATTCATTATGCAAAGCAAGAAAATGTTAACTTGAATAAGTAAGATGAAAATAGAACTCATTACAAAGCCCTAGTAGTTTTTTTTTATCAAATAAACCACTGGACAGGATGGTTATGGTAGCGTAATGGTTCCAAGAAGGTTCCGTGTTCAAGCCTCTGTTGCCTTTCTGTGGGGAGTTTGTATGTTTTCTCTGGGTACTCTGGCTTCTTCCCTCAATCCAAAGACATGTAGTTTAGGCTGACTGGCAACTCTCTGGCATTAGCATGTGTGGTTGTCTGTCTCTATGTGTCAACCCTGTAACAGAGTGGCAACCTGTTCAGGGTGTACCCCATCTCTTGTCCAGTGTCAGCTGGGATTGGCTCCAGCCCCCCGCGAATATCTTCAGGATAAGCGATATGGATAATGGATGGAAACCACTGGATAAACATTAACTGTGCACACAATCTTAGAAATAGCTTTATAAGAGAAGCCTGTTAATTAAAACAGTGCAATGAGGACAACACTGATATTAGTGCCTTTTAAACTATGACATGCACTTTAAAAAGTGCTAAGAAGGACATTGTTGTCACTGTGTATGTGGAAGTTTGTCTCATATAAGAAAAATTCATATTCATTGCATGGCATTACTAGCTCAGAAGAGCACATTTCTCTGCCTTACTCGTCATTTTTTTAAATTCTCAACTATATAAAAGTGACCTGTAATTAAAAAGAACATGAACATATTTCTCACAAAGGTGCCATCATATTGTTTAAGGAATGACAGACCTAAATGATAATGCTATGTGTGTAAAAAATTCACAATTCCTGTCGGCCATGAATTTAATAAAAGCTATTACAAAGGTGACACTCAAGCTGCTTTGTTACGATATATGGGCACTATATTGCATTAATCAGCATGAACCTCTACACCCACAATATTAATTCTGACATTAAAAGTAGTAAGTGCTTTCAAAGACTTGCCCATCTTTCTGGTTTGACTCTAGCTGCACTCACAAATGCTGAATCTTTGAGTTTTCTGTTCATGCTGGGGAGATATTGCAGGTAATTTCTTATTCATTCAAATTCAGACAAAAGACCAATTCCATACCTTAATGCTGAAATATTGTATATTTATATTTGTAATACAATTTAGTTTTGATAAAAATGGTCAGTTAAGGACACAGATGGTCATCTGGGAAGCAAAGGGAGCAGTCCAACTAATTCTATGGCGACTGCTGTCCACTCGGAGTGCCACTGACACATGTCTGGTTCTTTTTGACATTGTGAATATCTCATGTTCAAAGGGATGACTCCTTTCACATCAGCTTGATGCAGCACTTGTACACTTCAGCGGAGCCTCACATCCACCTGAAAAAAAAAAACCAAACAGTCATGCAAACACTTTTGTTACCATTGAAAATCCCTCAACTGCTCGTCTCTCCTATAGCTCTAACACAGATGTAAATGTAGGAAAGCTGACTTAATTGTTTTTGTGTGGCCTATATTTTAGCATTTGAATACTGCTAAAATAGTAAGACCATACCTTGTTTCTGTTTTTATGTTTATATCTTGTTTTGTTTGAATTTTTATTTTCCATCACACATGCTTAAAAAAAACTTTTCTTAAACTATTTACACTTCCATCCATTTTTGTCAAGCACAAATTTGCACCACCAGATTATGAGAAAATCAAGCTAATTAAAGCTTTTAATGTCCTCTCTATCTATTTCCACCACAGTGCCAATGAAATTTTAAAACTGTCCCAGTAAATAAATAGTTTCAGCCTGGGTTTTAAAGTGTCACTCTGTAATAAAACTCTCTGCTAAAGATAAGTAAATAAAAGTAAGAAAGCAAGACTATCTGCTCCTGAATTAAAGCTTTATTGGCAGTTAATTAAAAGCCTCCTGCTTCTGTGGTTTCTTGCTTTGGAATTGTTGTTTTTGTTACATAATATGGATTGAAATGTACCAGACTGTCTTATTTTCAGACTTAAAGAAAATCAATGTTGATGCATTAAAGCTCAGTTAAATCATCCTCATTTTATCATAGTTGTTTCTGGGGAAAGGGGATTGTGGATTAAGTATATATACAGTGCAATACAACACAGTACAATGCAGGAACCTTGAATACTATTAGAAAAACACAGTTCAGAAAAAGAATATTTATTTAAATTGGACATATTTTTGTTTTCTTTTGTGAAACATCCAGTCATTTACCACATAGGACCATAAGAAGTTCTTTAAATGAAACTGGAAAATAGAAGCCATCCCAGTGGATCCCCCTGACAGGACCAACAAATAATCTTAAATGGAACAAGGTACACCTCCTACACACTGGCGTTTTGAACAAGGCTGCAAGTCAGAAATCTTGGAAACCAATGGTTTATGCTTCAAAAATGTGATGTAATATAAAAGCTTATTTGTTAAAATAAATTTTTATTTGAAAATTAATTAGTAACTGCAGCTGTCAAATATATTGCATAAATTTGAAATATTCAAGTAGGCCTAATGCACAAGCAGTCTACTGTATCTTACATCAAAATTGTATGTAAATACCTGAGTTAATAATCATTATTTAATTTTCAGCACTACTTTGGATTTTCTTAGAAAAAGTTTGGATTATTGCTGTACAGTATATGAATAACTGCCCCATTTGACTTTGTATATATGTGAAAATATTCGCAATTACTACAATCAGATTTTGTCAGAAAGAAATAGACATATACTTATCTTAATAATTTTACGGCAAATAGTAAATAAATGAAAGAAAAGAAAGTCTTCATGGGAGGTATAGGTATTAACAAATTTATCATGCCGAGCTTGAGCTGAGTTTGAGCTGAGTTTGAGCTGGAGAGTAATCGACGTGGCGTCATTACGTCATCACGCAGCGGTAGCTGTGCGTACGCTTAGTCAAACAGGCACGTTTGTTTTCATGGTAGGTAGTGGATGATAGAACGCTACAAAAGTTTTTGAAAGTATAACAATCCACCGCAGAGACAGGTTTACACTGTGCATTGACGAACTCTCAGGGTGAGGGTTTTTTTTTATTTTACATAGAAGCTGAAAAAGATGGTCGTTTTCATAAATTAACCAGGGCTAGCAGTAGCTGTGTAGCTAACGTTAGCCTATCTGCATGCCAGTACTTTCCCTGTAACCGTGCATCGCTTTACACATAGGTTTTCTTTTAACGTTACTACCCGTACAAGTGATTGGATTCCTTAGCAAGGATATACGACACAATTCTCGAATAAATTTTTTTGTTTCGTTTGTCATCTGTTCTTAACCGCTAACACTGTGCGGAGTCAGAAAAGCAGGCTAACTGAACTCACGATGAGATAAGTTAGCTTTATATTATTTCTGAAGACATTTTGAGCAACAACGGGATTGTGATACAGTTATTCCATTTAAGGTTATTGTCAAATACATAAAGCAGGAAGGTTTTAAGCTATATTTGAGATCAGTTTGTGCTTTGTAGTTTTCGCTAATCGGTTGGTCTACAAATCGATTTATAGACAAAATAGTTGGCACATTAAATGTAATACCTTCTTTATAGTGCCATTTCAACACCGAGACAGCAAATGCGTTAGTGGTGTCTTTTCGAGTGATCTCCTTGAGCCCTTGTATGTTTCTTTCTCTCCCCAGCATTTACGAGATGTCTTCTCCCGCGCCCATTATCAGATCGAGACAGACAGAGAAAGAAGTCAATGGAATTTCAACACAGGTCGCCTGTACAGAGTTCAGTAATTACATATTTGTAGTACTCACACAGTACGGCAAAATTGGGACATTGATATCTGTCACACCTGACTCCAGATCTAATGATATCACCACCCCGACGTTGTCCACCAAAGTACTGCTGGGCAAAGACGAGGTACACTGCATTAAATTGCTCATATAACTAAACATTTTATCAGTGTGATATAGACTTGTTCACAGGACACCAGGCAGACTTGATGAAACACAGGGTAACTCATTTCATGCTGTGGCAGATGAAATTGGTTCTGGTAGACTGGGAGAAATTACTGTAGATCTGTACAGGCATGGAATTCAATGGTCTGTTAAACTTTGCACAAGAAACCCATTACATCTCTGCATGAGCATGTAACTTTCTAAGTGCTGTGCAATGCTAAGGTTGGATCACCTGTAGAGAATTCTAACTGTTAACTTACTACAACTACACTGTCCACTTTGTCACTATATGCTAAATCTCGTAAGCACTACACTCAGCCTGTGTTGGACATTATCTGGCTTCCATGTAATCCTTTTAACTAGACCATAACAGAGATGAAGACTCTGCTGTTGCCAGTGTTGAATGAATATAGGGAAAACATTTGGAGTGTCTGTAAGAAAAGTAATTTTGTCAGTGAGGTTTCACACCTTGCCACTGCACTTTTTTTTTTTTTAAAGGATCGTTGAAGTTATTCATTTTGTGCTGACAGACTTGTTAGATTGCAACATTTGGTATGCAGTAATCTAATGTCTGATTTGTGTTTCTGTTTTCAGCCACTGACACATGTCTGTGCCAAAAACCTGGCAACATTTGTTTCACAAGAAGCCGGCAACAGGCCTGTCTTACTGGGACTGGCACTAAAAGACTCTTCCATAGATTCAATAAAACAAATGAAAGAGATCATCAGAAGTTGTCAAGTCTGGTAAAAAGTGAGCAAAATGGACATGAAGTGTTCTGGATGCCCCTAATATTATTATTATTAATTTTTTTTTGCTTCTTTTTAATCTGAAAAGATTTCTCCTGTTTTCTATAATTGTAATTTTAAACAAAACTCTGTTGCTTTTGCTCCAAGACAGAAATGTAAAAATCCAATTTCATTTACACTGATTGTTTTGATTTGGTGAGACAGTAAGAAATGCCTTCTGGGAAACATAATTAAGGGTTTATCTGACTGCAAAGAAGGATTTTCAGCCTTCAACTGTGCTCTGAAAAGCTGAACTAAATTATTGTTTGCAAAGCTGTGGCAAATTGTTCTGCTACTTTTACTGTAAGACAGTTTTTCTTTATACTTTATACTGTTACTTGAATGTTATATTCTAAAATGTTTCATGGTGATTGTTTAATAAAATAGGCCCATTAAAAAAAGTTGTGTTTTTATGTTCTTGATACAAAGTCATGTCAGCCTCAGTGAAAGATAGTTTGGGCTTAGTACTGGATAAACATTTTAAGCATCACAAACTGGAACATTTGGCAAAGCTTTTCAAATCATGTTGAGTTTGCCATCATAGAAAACTGAAAACTGTCTAATTTTAAGCCTGCAGTTTTCTGGGCTTTGCAGAAAAACCCCACCCTCAAACCATTGGTTTTAAACGAGGTTTATTTTAGGCCTATGTCAAATCTGAGGTGGTATATTTTGGTCCACCTTCCCTGACAGCTCCTCTACAATCCAAACTGTCTGCCATCTGCCATTAAGGACTAGGAGTCTTCAAGCAATCAAGGACTATATTTGACTCAAACCTATCGTTTAACAGCAAGTATAATACAATCATGGTATAAGCTTTCTTTAGCCAAGGACAGCATCTAAAATGAAATAATTTTAACTGCTGCAGATATCAAAAAGGTTTTTTTTTAAATAGAAATACAATTCAATATGAACAGTTGCATAATTTACACAACAGGATGCATCGTATAAAAGTAGGCATAATACATCTAAGTAACCTTAAGTAAACAAAGCAGAACAGGCAGGACAAAGTGAAACAAAATACCAGAGGTAAAGTTATACTGATATAAAATAATAATAATAAAAAAAATTGAATGCATACCCTCATTTTCTTTTGTTTGGACTATTATAATTTTCTTTACTCTGGCTTCAGTCGCAAGTCAGTTGACCATCCACAGCCCATACAAAATGCTGCCATTAGGCTTTCATCAGTTCACATCAGAATTATTGGTTGTAAGATTTTGCTTATACAGTAACTTTTAAGGCTTTCATGGCCACTTGCCTTTTTTCAAAGGATGCCACACCTTTTTGATCCATGCCCCTCAGCCCTGTAACTCCCAGTCCAAGTGTCTCAGGATGACCATTTTTAATGAATGACATTTGTGTTCCTGTGTTGGTCTTAGTCGTATGCTCTTAGTCGATTTATTGGAATATTCTTTGTCATACTGTTATAGTTTATTTTAATTTAGCATTTGTTGTTTTTTTTTTTGTTAAACACAACTTTAAAAAGGCAATATAAAAATGCAGTTGTTAATTTTAGTTAAAAATTATTATTACTAGTTAATTCCCAAATTCTTACTTTTTCCTTGCCAAATCAATAAATCAGTCATTCTAGCTCTAGGGCTCTGGTTTATGTGCTTGATAAAATAAATAAATCAGTGGCCCCCCCTTAGGAGGTTAATCCAGCCATGGCAACTATTCCTTTAGTCCATAAATGTAAGTAAACATACTATTACAGCTTTCTTAAATAAAAATGCAGCTTTTAGTTAGGACTATTGCCAACCCCTGGGTAAAAGTACTTCCATCATAAAGGCAACGTGATGACGACATAGGTGGAGCTGTGGTCACGTGATTAATTTACCTGCGCTACACCTGTTTATCCGCTCTACTCTTTTGATTCGCTGCCTACGGGGGAAAAATCATATTCTCGTTATTTGCGTTGAAGGTTTTCAGTCTCTCTGATTTCGCAGAGTCCACGCTACAGCATTTGTAGCCGAACGTGGTTTTGTTTGAGATTGTATTTGAGGTTTAACCCGTCGACTGTGTGGACTTCTGCCTAGGTAAGGGTACCTGTTACCAACAAGGAAGTTAAGTCTGTTGAACCCGTCTTTGGCAACGTCAGCGGGACGTTTGTAAATAGGTTTCAGTTCCCACTGTTGGTTATTCTGAAAGGCGATTGTATTGTCGACGCGGGTTCTGTAACAAGTCGTGGCCTATTTGTGGACAGCACCATCCAAACTGGATCAAGCTGCTTTAACCCTTCCCTGGACAAGGCAGTCTACTGACGGCATAGAAGGTGTATATCAAGGCTAAAGTCATTTGAGCAACATACCTAGTTAAGTCTGTCATATGTCCATATAATTATAGATTTGAATGTTTTGAGTTGTAATAGAAAAATCTAGATTTTGTCTTGTGTTTAACAGGCAGCATGAAATCACTGGGTAATATTCAGTTCAGCCAACAGAGATGTGTTTTAACCTGGAAGCCCTACTCTGACTTTCTGTCTGTTTCATATGAACAGAACCTTTGAGGACATGGATTCATCATCTAAAAATAATTCAGTTATTCACCTGGATGCACCAGTTCTCCCAGACAAGTATGACATCTCCAATGTGACCATTATTCAGACAAGCAATGGGACAATCGTAGAGGACCACATATTTTTAAACACAGTGGCTGCTCAGATCCTGTCAGGGATATTTGTCTGGTCTGCGTTGCTCCTAACATGCCACCAGGTGAGTCCGTCATTTCACATAATTCTTATTATGCCATACTCATGCTTGAAGAAACCAAAATCACTGCATCTCGTGGCACTAGTGAGTAATACAAAGCAAAGTATTGCACCCTCAGTGATGTACAGTAAATGTGTAATCAGAGATGGTCAGGGGCTGAGAAATTGCCCCTTCCTTGTCAGAGGACAAATTCCTCTTTGCATAAAAGCTTTTACCTTAAAGCACAGTGCAGTGAATTCAATGTCCCAGCACACTCAGCATACCCGCCCTGATGTGCTGTTGTGTATAATGATAATATAACAATTTCTTTCTTTCCAGACAGGTATTATTCATTCTGCTTTATGTGTGCACTGCCCCAGTGCAGTGTGGAAATGTTCTGCTTACTTTATAGTTGACAGTGGCTATAAGATTAAAAACGATGAGAATTCTTTGCTTGATTAAAGAAAAATGAATACACAGCACGTGCTCTCTGTGTGAAAGGAAATCATGGGCTAGAAGAATAAATGACTCAACACAGGCTAACTTCACCCAGAATCTGTTTCATCGCTGCTGTAAATGAGCATTTCGTCTTATGTGGGTGAGTTACCCACTGTGCACAGATGATAGTTTATTGTTATGATAGCTTGTGGTTCTTATCATTTGCAGAGAATACAGTAGGGTGCAGTGTGTTATCAGCAGGGAAATCAACTGATATTGAGTTAACATTTATGACGCTGTATGTTTTCGCTGTGGTTTTAATGTTGTGCAGCTGTAATAGCTCTGAGATTTAGTTGATTATATAACCCTTGGTATTGAACATGCATCCATCGATCATGCTCAGTTTGGAAATCATATGCCTATATCATATTTATGTTAATGCACATATAATCATAACTCTCTTGTATGATATGTAATTAGATAGTTATGTGTTATTTTCAACTTATTAACATCCTCACAAAGAATCAAAATGTATCCGTCAATCCTAAAACAGCTCTTGTTTAGGGATTTGTGAGTCAACATTCAGAAAATGGGTTCCTATCTTTTTAATGTTGCACTTGTTTGGCTAAACACAGCCAGACATTTTAATTGAGAAAATAAATAAGTGTACCGCGGGGATAATAGAGCAGGTTTGCAACAGGCATTGTTTCTATCACACAGTGAAGTGGTCTGCAGGATGCAGTGTTGCAATGCTGGTGGTGTTTTGTCTGACGTTGCTCCATAGTGGATTACTACGTTCCTAAACTCATATTCTGAATACTAAACACTGATTAAAAAATGACCTTAGATACTTTCTGCTGTAAAGTTGCCAGTGCTTTTTTTTGGACTGGTAATTTGTAGAGTGTGGCTCATTTTTCTTGGTGGGCTTAATGTTCCCTTTGCTACATGAATCATTTGGGATTAAGAGCAGCAGACGGCACTTACCTTCTACTGTATGGCTGCGTCACGTTTTACACCGGGCACTCTTATTCAGATACACTTTTCAAAATTGGGATTCCACATCCCACTTCTTCTCTTAAGGTAGAAATAGCATAAAAACCTATGAGCATAGGCTTGAAGGAATTATTCACAATACAACTATAAATTACTGTCAGGTCAGTGTTGAGGAGTAGGGAAGGACATAGGGTTTTCAGGCAAATGGGGGACATCAGTTTACAACCTGCTTCACTTCACTTGTAGACATGGCCCAATGCATCACCCCACCACAGTAATCAGGCTTTAATGTGCAGTCTCTAATAGGCGTTTGATCAAGTTGCATGCATTGAGTAGAGTAGCCAGCTCCTCTAAATAGATGTTTTAAAATTTAAAAAATGTTCAGACCTACTGATGGTACATGGTACAAAGAATAAGAACATATCACTAAGCAAGTGAGCCAAAAAAACGAGTGCTTCTATCACATAAGGTTATTATAACTAGAAAATAGGGGGAGATTTCAAAAGTGTTTTTTTTTTAATTATTATTATTCTTAATTTTAAATTCCTGCTTCTCACAGCACCATGTTTCTCTTCTCAAATAAAATAACTCTCCTCATAGCCACAAAATGCCTTTAAGCACACATCATCAGAAAAACAGGGTGGGGTTACAGATAGATGTTCCCCTTGGGAGATTTGTCATGGGAATCACATTACAGCATCATAATTTCAGAAACACCAAAAGTCATAGATAAATGTACATAAAATGGAAAGATAAAGGTTTTCCTAACAGCGAATTGGAGCAGCTACGCCACCTAATTTATGTCACTTAGTACTACTGAGGTTATTCGGTGCTCTAACTGATCCAGGAACTAATACGTTATTGTGTTAGTTGAGTTTACATCTGGGAACCCTATATCATTTGCCGGAGGGTAACAGTTCAAATTCGTTGTGGTGAATGTGGGAATGGCCCTTTATAACTTTTTCTTACCTGTGACAGGACACATTGTTCATACAGTCTGAAGGCTGTGGTGATTTTTATGAGCAATTACTTTCATAGTTTATAAAGGAGTTTAAAAAAAGTTGAAATTTCCAAAAAAAAATGAATAAGACTGAAGAAAAGAATCAGGATCATCAGTGCAATCAGTACAGTAGCTGTCTTTAATGTATGACTAAAAGGATAAAGAAGATGTATGCTTACTATTCTTTGTTCTTGTTTGGAAGAAGCTATGGTTAATTTTATCTGGGCAGAAAATCCCTAAGCTTGGCTGGCTATGTGCTTGTTCTGGCTGAAGTTGAAACCAGCTTTGTAAGTAAGTTTTTTTTTTTTTTTTTTTTTAATGGCAGTATATCAGCTTGTTATTTTCTCAGTTCATAAAATAGTAAATAAAATACTCATCACAATTTTCTAAAGGCCAAGATAATGTTTTCCTATTTTTTTGTTTTAACCCAGCCAACAGTCCAAAAGTTGTCCAATTCTCAGTCAGGCAAGACCAAGAAAAGCAGCCAATCCCCAACATTTGTTAAGCTAGAAGCAAAGAGTGTTTGACTTCATTCATTTATTTTCTACCGCTTAATCCCTGAACGGGGTCACGGGGGTGGGCGGAGCCAATCCCGGCCAGCAATCGGGCGAAGGCGGGGTACACCCTGGACAGGTCACCAATCCATCGCAGGGCTGAGTGTTTGACCTTTTTTTGCCTTAAAAACTACATGAATGATCGGCAATTATAAAAACAGTTGCTGACAAATTTTCTGTCATTATACCAGTCAATGAATCATCTTGTCAACTTTAGCTGTAATGGGAGCTTGTTAATTGTCTGATGAGGTTGAACACACTTGACAGTGGTAATGATTTTTTGCGTATTGATTTCTTGTCTCATTTAAGAGTTACTTGTCAAAAGTTGAGCTTGAGTTTGCTATGATTCCTTAGAGCCCAGTTTGGACACACTTTCCCGTTAAATTAAATGAGAAAGTGTGTCCACACTTGTGACAGGTAGTGAATCATCTCAGTCAACTGAGAAACGTCTAACCAATTAGTCATTTTCAAATTATTATTTTTATTTATTTATAGTGGAGAATGAGACACCAATTTCCACACCTCTGGTTTCACAATGAGCTTTTTCTGCATGACTGCATCCATCTGCAGTGGGACGGTAATGCTGGAGAAACAAGTTTGACTGATTTTTCAATTAAATCTGCTAATTGTGTGGGTGACTAGATCCTAGGAGTATCCATCAAATGAGAATTTATTTGATGACAGATTAAAGTTTTTGTTCTATACATTGTGTTGGATTAGTGATGCTGCCAGGTTTTGGCAGTTTCAGCTTTATTAGCAAGACATTTGTTGTTAATTTGTTCACTGTGATGGATTAGTCAGTTTACAGTCATATGAAAGCACAAAGAGAGACAGTTTAACTCTACTTTACTTGGTATTGAAATCATATTAGCTTCAGATCATAATGTACAAGTCAGTCCTTACTTCAGCCTCACAACCAAAATTATGCATGTCAGTGGTGAAGTGTAACATGGCTCTTTATATTAGCTGCTAGTTTTATTGTGTCTAAAAACTTGGTCGCTGAAAATAATGCTAATCAGCTCTTCATGCATATGTTGTGTGCATTCTCTTAAATGTTGTTAGTTCCAATATCTTTTTTTATGGTGGCAAGTTGTTCCTGTGTGTGTTTGAAAACTAAAGGTTAAGACTTTTATCAGCTCAGTGAGAAAAGTGTGATGCTGCTTTAGTCAAGTCAACTCTGTAGATCTTTACACACAGAAAGCAATCGGTGCTAGATTAAAACATGTCTATTAATAATATACAAATAAAAAGGCTGACATTCCACACTCATCTCATCCATGTGGTTTGTATTATGTCACTGTCAGTGCTATAGAAAACCAGCTAACTTATTCCTTTTTCCAGGGGTGTCTAATAAACAGTCATTGTTGACATGGTAAAATAAACAAATCACAAAACCTTTAAATCAGAGTGTCTTACAGATTTATAAATTTTATTGTCAACAATCTTATGACATGCATTATGCACATTTTGCAGTAACACTATGAACATGCCATCTGTCAAGTTTGGGGCTGAAATGATTTGTTTTTGAATCAATCACAATGAAGATTTTGTGCCTCATTTTTTTTTATATCAGTGTAAATTGAATGTGTATTTTGGACAGTTGATCAGGTACATGTGAGGAGACTTTCACATGCAGACAAGAGCAGAAATTGGTTCATTTATAACCCTGTTCTATGAATCTGTAAAATGCTCACCCAGATCAGACTTTTTCTTGTTTACCAATATTATGCTTTGTTTGTTTTTTTCATCATAGATCTATACACACCTTCGGTCCTACACTGTCCCCAATGAGCAGCGTTACATCATCCGCATCCTGTTTATTGTGCCAATTTATGCCTTTGACTCTTGGCTAAGCTTGCTCTTCATCAGTAATGACCAGTATTATGTGTACTTTGACTCCATTCGAGACTGCTATGAAGGTAAATATCACAAGCCCACCCTTTTAATGATCTGCCTGATGACAACTTTTCTAGTCCAGTTGTGGTTTTGTTTGCCTGCCGTCATATTTTAGATACAGTAGCTGCCATAATGGAAAGACAGGGAGCTCACCAAACTAGTTTTTCAAACAGGTCATTGTTCTCATGTAGGTGGATCTTATTATTTGGGGTGTTGCATTTCTATAATTAGTAATTTTAGGCGCATCTGTTTTTGCACTCTGGTTCATAGTGTTAACCTACAGTCTGCTTTTTACAGTGGGTATGGAAAGTATTCAGACCCCCTTAAATTTTTCCCTCTTTGTTATATTGCAGCCATATGCTAAAATCATTTAAGTTCATTTTTTTCCTCATTAATGTACACACAGCACCCCATATTGACAGAAAAGCACAGAATGTTTGACATTTTCGCAGATTTATTAAAAAAGAAAAACTGAAATATCACATGGTCATAAGTATTCAGACCCTTTGCTGTGACACTCATATATTTAACTTAGGTGCTGTCCATTTCTTCTGATCATCCCTGAGATGGTTCTACACCTTCATTTGAGTCCAG